TCCTGCTTTTATCCTTTTCTTCAATTTGCATAATCTCTCTGCTCTCTTTTCTTCTTCGTTCTTCTTCTCGTCCTTGTCCAGAGTCTAAACCCAGAAAAGAAATCAAAGAAACTGATGTAAGACCATTTAAAAAAAAACAAGTACAATTAAACTCACATAAACTTACCGGAGAAGACTTTAATCGGTGGGTTTCTAGTTTGTCGCCGACGAAATCGAGCCTTTAATCGGTGGGTTTCTAGCAACAAAACGAGACACGAAAGGGATTACATCCCTAAAAACAAAACCAAAAGTAAAAATAACAACATGCATGTCCCAAATCTTGCCGGATCTAAGACTCCCTCGCCGCCGTCGCTATTGATGAGAAGGGAAAGAAGAAAGGTCGGAGGGAAGAGTGGAATATGATCTTTTCTTTCCATTAGCTCGAGAAGAGTTGAAGGATGAAGATGAGAAAGGTTTGAGAGAGAGAGATTTGAGAAGGATTTTGCCTTTGTTTCTGTTGCTTGTTTGCGGAGGAAGAAGATGGGGAAAGATAGTGAGAGAGGATATGGACGGCTGAATAAGAAAGAGATGATGGAAAGGGGTTTTTTCCCAATTAGGTAGTAATTGGGGTAGGGTTATTAATTTGTTGACAACGTGGATGCCAATTCAACAACTGCTTAGTTTTTTTTATGGTCTTCATTGTTCAAATTAATTAAATTAATATTTAGGTAGGTTTTTTTAATTAATTGGGCGTTGATAGATTTGAGTGTAATATCAAGGATTACGAAATCGTACTGAAGGTTATAGCGGGAAAGTAGGGTATTTTGTATTAAAATCGTGGTTTAACTATAGTTTAATCATTTTCTATGGCTAAAATTGCCTACTATTTTGGGATCGATATTCGATATTTCCAGTCCGATCAACCAGTACGGTTGTGTTTTTTAAACATTGTATAATATAAGTTGAATAAATTTTAATTGATTTAGAATGCTTGATCAATTATTATAAAGTCTCTATTTTTAAATAATTGATGTGGTTAAATCAATATTTTAGAATAAAATACTCAGCCACTAATTTTTTCGGTACAATCTCTGGTGCGATTTAAAAATAAAGTACAAATATAATTCACAATTCATAAGTTAACAGAATATTAACATACAATCATTATTTTACTATTACATAACTAATAAAATAACATATTCATCATAATTCCCAATACACAATTTCCTTCCTACTTTCTTCCATAAAACAACATTTTCTTCCCAATTTCCTTCACCTCCAAATCTCCCCTCCCCTCCTAATTTTCCTTCACCTCCCCTCATTTTTCTCCCTTCCTTCGGAAACATAGAGTAAAAAAACAGAGGGTTAAGGTTTCCGATAAGTTCATTGGAGATCATTGCATTTCTTTTAGGAGCGTTCGGTTAGCATGCTAACCTCTAAGGAGTGGTTTTTTGACATTTCCTTTATTATTGGTCAATTTTGTTATTAATCATTTGACAAGTATTAATGAAAGTAGATATAATAAATGCAACTTGTAAAATTTAATACTCTTATTAAATACAAATTAAGAATTAAATACACCACATTAATTACTTGTATTTTTTAAATCTAAACCTATACAAAATGCAATTCTCTCTTCTATCTAATCCTTTTCTCTCCTATCTTTTATCCTTCCTTTTCCAGCAACCTCCGAACGACTCCTTCCCAAGACACTCCCGGCGAGTTTTCAATTTTCAGATCTGACTTTTCGATTTCCAAATCTGATTTTTGTATCACTGCACTGATATTTGTATAACTGCACTTAAACTCAAAATATGATATTTGTACCAGTGCACTAGTAGCACTACCAATGCACTGGTAGCGATACCACTCCACTGGTAGCGATATCAATGCACGGTACACATGTCAGATCTAAGTATCAGTGCAGTGGTACTACATATCAGGTCGTCGGAGAGATTCTGCCGATGGGGGATTTCACCGGCGAAGTGTGGTGGTCAAGGAAGCTTGGTGGTCGGAGGCTATTGAGAAAGGAAAAATCAGAGATAGGAGAGAGAATTGTATTTTGTATAGGTTTAGATTTTTTAAAAAGTAAGTAATTAATGTGGTGTATTTAATTCTTACTTTGTATTTAATAACATAACATTTATCATGTTTACTTTCATTAATATTTGCCAATGATTAATGAAAAAATTGACCAATTAAGGAGGAGGTGTCAAAAAACCAACCTCTTTGGGGTAGACATAGTATCCGACCCCCCTTTTATGAATATTAATCTACCACTTATTTGAGTAAATAATATGGGAATTATGCCATGAAATGGAGACAACTGTGATTTTTTTACTTTTCTTTAGAGAGTGCATGGTTGTTCTAAGATGGATTAATGTGTTCCCATCAATATCATATCATTGATGACATCATATTTGATGACAAAAATATGCAAAAATCTTAAAAGAATTACATAAAAATGTATGTTTTCATTAATTATGATTACATGCATAAAAATAATGACCGAATTATATAAATAAATTTTTGTAATCTACCGTTAACTAAATTAGGACTAAAAGCTCAAATGAGCATATGACATTCTACCACTCATCATTGAAGCAAAATCCCTTTCGAGTTTCGATTGAGCTAGAATGCCAAAACTAGATCCACACTTTGGCTTTTTACATTGAAGATGGTCTAAATATGCAACAAATTTATTAAGCGTATGGAATTAGCCTACAAATTTGTTGATGACCACAACAAGTAATTTCACTTTAAGTAAGCTGAAATGGTAAAAAAAAAAAATTGTGTTTAATCCAAATTATTAAAGTATTTAATTTTTTTTTTTTTGCTTTGAAAAGTCGAAATGGAGCAAAACATGCCAATAAACCGAGTTTCCAAAAAATCTGAAAATATTTTTTATAACATAAAATTGCAAAAGATTGTTTTGAAAGTACAATAATTCTTACCGTTTTCATAAAATAATTTTCTTCCATTTATATTATTTTATATATATGCTGATTTGATATTATTTTGATAATTAAATAAAATTAGGGAAATTTTTAATCAACTTAAAATACATCTAGCTGTATTTATTTTAAATATTTCATGTTTGAAATCATTTTGCATCACTTCTTATATTAAAAATATTTTTAATAATTATCAAGCGAACATTGAACCACTTTTTCAAAATGCATCTTTCTAAAAGCTCAAGTCAAAAGATTGTAAAAAAGAAATAAGAGAGCCAAAAGCATGTGAGTAAAACTCAGTTTTCACTATTTTATTTACACAATAGATCGTTCCATAACACGGTTAGTGATGACAATGAGGCGGGGCGGGTACTTCAATACCCATGTCCCACCCCATGTTATTACGGGTCGGGGCGGGTAAAACCCGCGCGGGTACGAGGTTGGACGGGTCGCCTCACTCTTACATGTTATTTAAAAAAAATACACGCAAATTTTACTTTTTAGGATAAAACGAAGGGTATTTAACTTTATGAATGAAAAATAGTGATAATAGAATGGGTAATTGAGTCTAACAAGTTGAAAGATCGACTCCAACTAGTTTAGAAAAAAGTCAAAATAGGATAAATATGTATAGATATTGTAAGAAATTGAGATAGAATGGGCCAAGAACGGGGCAGGACGGGGTAGGTGGGGTCAGAAGTAGATATCCATGTCCCGCCCCACGCTACTGCAAATCGGGTAATACCCACTCTATCGCGGGTCAGGTTGAGTAATACCCACAGGACGGGTTCAAATTTCCATCACTTAATTAACACGGTTATGTAATTCACATTTAGACCTGGCAATCTAGTCGGGTTGGGTAATTTTGGGTCGAGACTTTCGGTTACGGGTTGGGTCGTGTTTGCTAGGCTAATTTCGGGTCAAATATTGACCCAACCCATTCGGTTTCGGGTCGGGTTACAGGTCGTTTCGGGTTATTAGCGTTCTCAGAAACAATATCAAGCATGCTTCATATTTTCTTCAAGAACACAAATTTTCACAAATGTATGACAACGGTTTACCTAACACATGTCCATTAACATATTCTCAAATCTTCCCATGCTAATTAAATGAAATACAAATTACACAAATCGTCAAAAAACAATCACAAGAGTAATGTTATTACAAGAAACACATGATATTTGATTATCCTTAAGCTCCAAACATATGTCATTCAAATCCATGTGAATTTATTTAAATATCTCACCAATTTAAGAGTGGTTTTATCATTTTGGGAGTGATATATAAAATGGAGCGGGTCTAACGGGTCGACCCGCTAACCCACCCAACCTGACCCAAAAAATTGCGGGTTATCGGGTTCGGATCATTCGGGTTTCGAGTTATTAAAACTTCTATTTTTCAAGCGGATTCGGGTCGGGTCAACGGGTTGGATTGTAATTTGCCAGGTATATTCACATTGGTCTTTCACTTTGTAATCTGTACATACTAAAGTATTGATTATATCCTTCCTTAGCGCTATGTTTTCTACCAAAAATAAATCTTTCAATTAGTTAGAGCAACGGCAGGAATTGCTTATATCCTCCTCGCACTAATTAACAAATCTATTCCGTGTTGAATGAATTAACATAAGAAAGTTAGAGACCAGCACTCCAAAACATAACAGAACTTGCAGACAAGCACTTAAAAGAACTTGCAAACAACCACTTGCTTCCACAGCTAACTACAAGCAAAAAAAGTCTTTGAATTTCTCTTTATCGTACACCCTTTTTGTAGCTCATCTGGTAACAAGGAAAACCCTCTATTTGTAGTTCTGATTATATATCACGGTGTAGTTTGTTTGATATTTTTTTCAATCGGTATAACATTTTCTTTTGTAAAGAAAAAAGAAAGGCACACAAGCTGCTATAATGGCCTAATACTCCCAAAACAACAGACAAATCCAAACCCATCATTAAAAATACTAGCTCCCAATCCAAACACAGGGAAAGCGATTTCAGAATCTTCTCTCCGCTTCAAAGCTTCAACAAATCTCCTCTGTTTTCCCCTGTTTCACCTCTTCCCATCCCAATGACGCAGCAAGAGAGATGGGTTGTTGCCAATGCTATGATATCGGCAGTCTTCTTTGCTCTATCAATGGCGACCTTAACAGAGTCGACCCGCCAAGCCGATAAGATCACGACCCTACCGGGCCAGCCGGCGGTCCGGTTCAACCAATACTCGGGTTACGTCACAGTCGACAAGATGCAGGGGAGGGCTCTGTTTTACTACTTTGTCGAAGCGGAGACCGAGCCGGGCTCCAAGCCTCTCGTTCTCTGGTTGAATGGAGGGCCTGGGTGTTCTTCAGTGGGAGCTGGAGCTTTCTGCGAGCACGGTCCGTTTAAACCCAGTGGAGATGTTCTGCTACAAAACAATTACAGCTGGAACAAAGGTCAGTGTGACTGTAACCATTTTGTACATGATTGTCGATTTAACTTTCGAACCCAGAGTGAGGTGGATTAAGGTTGTACTGATTTGGAATTGGTGCAGAGGCAAATATGCTCTACTTGGAATCCCCAGCGGGCGTTGGGTTCTCTTACTCAGCCAATGCATCTTTCTACGACTCTGTAAATGATAAAATCACAGGTTAAACTACAGTTTCAATTCAAAACATTCTACTGCTAACTTTTCCAGTACAATTTTTGGTACGGTTTAACAATGATTGAGTTTTATCTTTTGTTTGCGGAGTGCAGCTGAGGACAATCTGGGTTTTTTGAAGGGATGGTTGGCCAAGTTCCCAGAATACAGGGGACGAGATTTCTTCATAACTGGAGAGAGTTATGCTGGTAAGGTTGTTTACTAATCAGTGGCCAATGGCCATAGAAGACAAATTATATTTGACAGAGCTTTCCCACTAATTGAAGATGGTGTGTTGTGGTTCTCATTGATTGGTCCTAAATGGAAACAGGTCACTACGTTCCGCAGCTCGCCCAACTGATTGTGAAATCCAAGCCACCCATCAATCTCAAAGGAATTGCAGTAAGTAACAAGTCTCTAGCTTATCAAGTGGCCCATTTTTTCACTTGTTTTTATAGGAAAAGTTACATATTTGGTATACAATGCATTATATTTAGTAAATGATAACCACTTCCAAGCTCCAACTAGTGGTGAAGGGAGGGTCCAACAACCTTACTTGGCAAAAAAATGGAGCATCAAAATCATTTAGTACATAGGGTTTAGTATGATCTTTCAAATTTAGAATATCGTATTCTTATCGATCTTATCTCACTTAAGAACCCCTGTCGAGTTAAAGTTCATTATATACATAAGTTTTAGTATTATTATTTTTTTAAGAAACCTAGTCAACTCAAAATCTAGCTAGAACAATGCTCCTAACAACTTGAGTTATTGAGACCAACTAGTTTTTAAGATGACATCAGAGCCTTCTGTGATTTGTGACCGAGGAGATCTTCTGTTCTAATCTCGATGATTCCCATAATCAAACATTGTAGATTTGATAACGCGAAATAACAAGAACACGAGACAAACGATTTTACGTGGTATCCTGGATCGATTGATTGATCGAGACTAATCCACGGTGAGCTCGGAAAAGCTCACAGCTTACGCTTTATTATTTGATGACTACAGCTTGACGGCTTGCTTACTACAACCTCGTAGCTAAACTTATATAGAGATAGACGTAGAGTTAAAACTCTAATGACAACCAAGTTTCCTTCTTTTACTTGAACAAGGAAAACTAGGGACTTGTAGGACAAGGAATTAATTACTTTTTGACTAAGTAATTAATATCCTCAACAAACATCTTCCAACAACTCAAGTTATTTGAATCAACATGTTTACGATATTATACTTGTAGCTAAACACTATGGCTGCTTCTACTTGCAAATGAATCACAGATTGGGAACCCTCTGCTGGACTTCAACACTGACTTCAATTCAAGAGCAGAGTACTTGTGGTCTCATGGATTAATCTCGGATGCAACCTTGGACATCTTCAACACAGTCTGCAACTACTCCCAGATAAGAAGACAACTGCAGAGAGGGTTTCTCACGCCAGAGTGTTTCCGGGTCAACAGCCATGCCTCCCTCGAAATCGGCAAGTTCGTGGACGCCTACGATGTCACTCTCGACGTCTGCTTGTCTTCCATCCAGTCCCAATCCCATGTCCTCGTAAGTGCAGCTTGTTGTACGAAATTCTTCGTCTGTCTTTAAGTCAACGGTTAATATTATGACGGGGTTGCTGCAGGAGCGGGCTACTGCTGCAGGAGTAGGGGAAATTGATGTGTGCGTGGAGGACGAGACGATTAGGTATCTGAACAGGAAAGATGTGCAGAAGGCTTTCCATGGGAGGCTTGTTGGAGTCCGGACGTGGAGCACCTGCAGCGAGTAATTCATTATCAACTTAATTACCCTTATGTTGATTCATTACTTTGGATTAACCCAACATTTGTGCCCTTGCATTGATGGGCCTAATGATATTTTGTTGAAAATGCCAGTGTGGTGAGATATGAAATGGACAACTTGGAGGTACCAACGACTCCTATTCTTGGCCAGCTTCTCAAGTCTGGCCTCAAGGTTCTGGTTTACAGGTACATGTATATTATTGCCTTTTTTTCTTTACATTTACTTTCTTATGAATTCATAATTCGTTTTGGTGATTAGGGATTTGGGGTTGGGTTGAGTTCCAACCAGATGTATGGAGGTTTCGAAACATCACAGTTTGTCTATCTTCTAAGTTCTGGATCGTTATGGGCAATAGAACACAAATTAAAATCATGAGAGCGATAGTAGATTAGCGAGCTTTGTTGGCGTGTTAAATGGATTTATTGTCTTATTGAAAAGAACGTTACACGAAGTTAGCATGAATAACAACCACGCTAACCTATTCCTTTTGTTATGAGTAGACGAACATAAGTGATCATTTTGAAGTTTCGTAGTGATTTTGATAAATTAATGATCATTTGGATTAGACATTTGGTGGGTCAATTCTACCTAATTATCTCATTTTGATGCGGTCTAATTTGACTATACAAAAATTGAATGAAGCAATTTGACATGAGAAATTTCAAAATAATCCATGTTAAGACAAATACAATTATCTGGAAGCAAATAATTCAATTTTTTTTAAATGACTCTGTATTGTAAAATAAAACAATTGCTTGCATTGTCTCGTTTTTCAACTGCCATATCCAAAGTTCGGCTCAGATGTTAGCCCAGCCTTTTATGTGTTGGGAGGTTTGTCAAAGCCCGGTCCAAAGTTTGTCGAAGCCCAAACTTCTTAGCCCGTCAAAGCCCAAAACTATTATGGTTGCTCTAAACCGGCATTGGATGATGTGGTTTCCCCTTCTTTGTTTCTGGCAGTGGAGATCAAGATTCAGTGATCCCATTGATAGGGACAAGGAAGCTTGTGAATGGACTGGCCAAGGAAATGGGCCTCAACACCACAGTGCCTTACAGCTCCTGGTTTCAGGGCAGACAGGTCTATGCCCTAATTTTTGCACAATCAACACCCTGATTTCTCACCATTTTTGTTAGGACTAAAAGAAACGATTCTTTTTTGTTGTGCAGGTTGGAGGGTGGACGCAAGTGTACGGCGACGCGTTGAGCTTCGCAACCATTAGAGGAGCATCCCACGAAGCTCCATTTTCGCAACCAGAGAGATCGCTGGAGCTGTTCAGGGCGTTTCTGGGTGGAACTCCTTTGCCAGCCCACAGTACCGTTGCTTATTGATCGCTACTACTCTGTGTAATTGACAAAAACAACGCAATTCAGTTGTTTACAAAAAGATTGGGGGAGAGAAAGAGAAGGATAGGATCGCAGTTAAGTACTGCGTTTCTTTCCCGTTGGCTTCCATCACTTTGTGTTCTGAAGTAACTGTAAGTAATTGGTGCAATGTGTCTGTTTTCCCTTGAATATAGGTCCGTTACTTTGCAATGAGTGAGAGTTTGTATTCCCTAGTATTAGTTCACATTGTTTTTTTGGTTAATAGCATTTTTACTCCTTTATTATGGTAAATTAACAAATTTATCCCTCTACTAAATTTTGCACAAACATGCCCAGCTAATATTAAAACATAACGAGTTTACCCTTCCATCCAATTATCTGTTAAGTGATCGCTAAAAGAGTTGTCAAAATAACCCAGTGGCCGACTGATCTTCTTCTTCCTCCTTCCCTCCGAAGCCCGAGTAGAAGCAGTGGCTGGTGCAGATGGGGGTTGGGGAGAGCAGGGGAGGCAACTGATTAGGGGTCGAGTACCGGGGATTCGCTTCTTCTTCCTTCTTTAATATTCTGGGTAAGTCGCGGATGTGGGTTGGGGGTGAGGGAGACGGGAGCAGATGTTGGGTTTGGGGTCGGTGAGGGATCAAGGGATTGTCTGGTTATGGTTTAGAATTGAAATTGGGTTGAGAATATGTTGCGGTTAGGGCGATAAAATTTGAATTTTAGGGTGACTATATTCGGGTTAGGTCGCCTAGAGAAGTACTATTTATACTTCTCAACCTTTCTGTAATTTGTATATTCTCCAATATAGTAAAATTGACTCTCTCTTTCGTCGAGCAACTTCGCACCTTCTCCCTACGGTCGAACATATGATAAACCTTCGGGCTCACATATGATAAACCTTCGCCCGAATAGAGGGCCGTTGATTAGCTAACACACATTACATTAGTAAATCACATACATATATTCGTTCTTTATAGTTTGTCGATTTACAGATCCGTTCTAACTAGGGGTGGTAAATGGTTAGGCGGTTATCGGTTTTAACCGATAACTATGATTAATGGTTAACCGATCACCGCTAATTTCTTAGTGGTTCGATTTTGGTTAGTTGAATTTTGCTTAATGGTTAATCGCTAACCTACTAATTGATTAGAGGTTAACCGATACGATAACCGCCTACTAGGATAACCACATAGTTTTGGTGTTTGGCTAAGGGAGAAACTCACAAGGTTCAAAACCAACCAAAGTCAGGAATTCCAGACATCCCAATTTTCACTTATTGCAAACAACTCTCCACCCAAAGTTTTAAATGTGTTTAAGAGTTAGAACCCAAAATTCATCCTCTCTGACTCCCCTTTGCAACTGATAGAACAAACATCGCACCCTAGTAGTCTTTGTTTCTTTGATGTGGATGATGATGATCTTGTTGTTCTTGTATTTGATGTCTCCATAGTTATTATACACCAATTAGATGAAGACATTTGCTTATTTTTAATTTTATATATTGAAATTTGAATTTGGATTATGAATTCATTATGGTTGTTGCATTGGTGTTATTTCTTATTATTAGTATTTTCTGTTAACAATGTATAAGTGTAGTTAAATTATCTTTCTAAGTGGTTCAGATTAAATGATACTAGTTAAACTTAATTGGATAATGATTTGTGTATTACAAGTGGTCATTGCTTTTGTTTTATTATATTTCGTGAAAGACAATAGAAGTTATTTGTTTGATATTTGGTTTGGTTAATTAGGTATATTCGTATTTATTGAAACGTATGTTAGTGATTATTGGTTAACCGACACCGAACCGATTAGCACCCTAGTTCTAACACATTTTTTTTTGGCACAACTCGTTTCGCTTCCTTGCCATTCAACTTGGAACGCTTTTTAATTTGGGTGATCTGTTTCAGCCTGGTCCAAACTACGACTAAGTCCAAATTGTTTTAAAGCCTAGAAGGCCAAATTTATTCCGCTAGATCACTCACAAGACCGAGTACTAGGGATGATGATAAACAACATCAGCGAGTATTGACTAGGGATGGCAGTGAAACCCAAACCCGCGGGTACCCGGCCAGACCCAGCCCGATCAAAGAGGGTAAAACCCGTGTTGACCGAGTTCTGGTTTAACCCGGTGTGTTGTTGAGCTGGTTCGGGTTTGGGGGGTACCCGCCCTGTGGATGCCCGACTACACTTAGCTAACCCTACATTTCCTGTATTCCCCCCAAGTCCCAAGCGCAACTCCTGGTTAGGATTAAATGACACTTGTTAAACTTAATTGGATAATGATTTGTGTATTACAAGTGGTCATTGCTTTTGTTTTATTATATTTCTTGAAAGACAATAGAAATTATTTGTTTGATATTTGGTTTGGTTAATTAGGTACATTTGTACTTATTGAAACGTATGTTAGTGATTATTGGTTAACCGACACAGAACCAATTAGGAACCTAGTTCTAACACATTTTTTTTGGCACAACTCGTTTCGCTTCTTGGCCATTCAACTTGGAACGCCTTTTAATTTGGGTGATCTGTTTCAGCCTGGCCCAAACTACGGCTAAGTCCAAATTGTTTTAAAGCCTAAAAACCCAAATTTATTCTGCTAGATCACTCACAAGACCGAGTACTGGGGATGATGATAAACAACATGAGCCAGTATTGACTAGGGATGGCAGTGAAACCCAAACCCGCGGGTACCCGGCCATATCCAACCCGATCAAAGAGGGTAAACCCCGTGTTGACAGGGTTCGGACCAGGTTCAGGTTTAAACCCGGTGTGTTGTTGAGCGGGTTCGAGTTTGGGGATACCCGCCCCGTGGATACCCGGCTACACTTAGCTAACCCTACATTTCCTGTATTCCCCCCCCCCCCCCCCCCCCCAAGTTCCAAGTCCCAACTCCCAGAAGGCAGAAACCCCGCCGGACGCCCACACCATCTTCCACTCCTCTCCGGATCTCCCTCTATGAAATCCCGTGAGGCTCTGCGCCGCCTCCACCCTCCTGTCCCGACGGTCGCCGCCCGCCCAGACCTCCCGTCCCGCCGCTCCACCATTGCTCCTCCTCTGCTCCGCCCCTCCTCTAGACCGCCCAGACCTCCCATCCTGCTGCCCTCCCGTTGCTTCACCTCTTCGCCGCGTCCCGACCTCCATTCCTGACGGCCGCCGCCCTCCCAGATTCGACTCCTGTCCCACCAACCTCCCCCTACCCCTCTGCTCCGCCGTCCCGATTTATATTTTTGTTGTTTTTTTCCTTCGATTTGCTGAAAAGAAAAAACTAATTAGATTGCGAGTTTATTGTCTTAATCCTGATATGGGCTGATTGAGGTTTGGAATCGAACCGACCAATTGAAACTGGAAATGGAAATGACAATAGTGATGTCGCCACAACAGCGGCTATCGTTACTGCTACAAGTGAAATTGAATTGAAAGCCGAGGGAGTGGTAGAGGGAACCATTTACATTATATTATTTTTTCTTTTCTTTTGCTAAAAAGAAGAAAGGGAGAAAGTTAAACTTGGTGCGTGACTAGTCTAGGAGTTGGGAGGAGTTGAATTGAAAGCCGAGACAGTGGAGTTGGGTGGATTTTATGTATCTACAAAAAACTATAAGGCAATGTCAAGATACAGAGTTTGCCACGTAAGGTTATGCTGAAACTGCCGCACAATGCGAGGGATTTTTACCGTAATTTCCTTATCCTTCTCTTCCGCACCTTCTCTCTTTCAATCTTCTACCAGAAGACCTTTAAGCTCTCAGAGAGGTTTACTTTGCCTCTGCTCACCGCAGCTCCGATCATCCTTGCCGCCACACTCAATCTCATCTCCAAATCCCCCACCGTCGCCCTCTCTGCACTTCTTCGATCCTCTCATTTGTTGATTTTGTTTCCATCTGTGATGCGAGATCTCCATCATAATTCTCCGATCCTTAGATTCGTTGCCATCTGTGTCTGGCTCTCAAGCCCTCGGAACATTTTCCCGACTCCTCTCGGCTCGCAGTCTGTCTCGCATCGCAAGGGCTGCAAGTCGATGTCCTCCTCCATCTCAGAAGAAATTTTCTCAGCCTCTCTCTCTCTCTCTCTCTTACTCTCACTGTATGCTTTGCCTCGTAGGGTCAACAGGTCGCTGTATGTTTCTGTTCGACTTTAGAAGGCTTATTTCATGAGGTAAAATCATGAGAAACCTCAGAAACCTTGCTCTTTGTGGTCAATTGTAAATTGTTTGATTGTGATAAGGTCAATTGTGATTTTAGGTTGTAAAGAGTTTGCTTTATGTTAAAGTCAACTGAGAGCTGATTAGTTTGTCTAGGGGCGGACGCACGGGACTTTAGGGGTGTCCCGGGACACCCCCTAAATTTTGGGAAAACGATTATTCAACCCACGGTGGTAATTTACGTATGGATAAAAAAAAAAATAATTGATAGTAGGGACACCCCTGAAATTTTAAAAAATGATTATTTTACTGTCATTTTTTAAATTTGTGTATGAGAATATAAGTGGTAGGTTGGGTAATTCAAACCTAGAGCACTATTATTATTAATACACTTCATTTTCATTAAACTACAAATCATTTGTTATTCGATTTTGAACACTGCATTCCCTATCTCTAATTATTTTCAAAACGTAGCAATTAAACTAATTTCAACCTACCCTTAATTTGTATTGATTTTATCGTTGTACGACAAGTGTTGAAAGAGTCTTTAAACTTTGGGTTACATCAAGAACAAGTTAACAAATCGAATATGTGATAAGTTCGTGAATGATTGTCTAGTAGGGTATATAGAGACAATTTTTTTTAGCATTGTAGACACCAAATGTATTCTACAATTATTTCAGAATATGAAAACACATAATGGACTAAACCTGTACGAGTAAGGTATTTTCTTATTTACATTTTATTTTTATTAATTATTTTTATTTAATTTATTTTTAAAAGAGGACACCTCTATGAAAAATTCCTGGGTCCGCCACTGAGTTTGTCCAAACCCAATTTCCACGGTAAAGATATTTATGTGTTCAAAGTATGGGGGTTCTTGCTATTAGCTTAACTGCAATACTACCATGGCTCCATCTCTTTGCTTATCCTTGCAATTAAGTCATGTTACAATTGGTTTATTTGATGAAATTGAAACCCAAAGTAACATCTCCACTCCTTTGGTGATTATGTAAATTTTTTTTCCTTTCTTAGTTTCTCAATCGTTTTCTTTTGGCCTTTTACCCTGTCTCCATTTTTTTTTTCTAATTACTAACATCAATAATCTAAAACCACTCATTCATTAATGATAGCAGCAATGGTAACTCACCACAAGAAAATGAAAATTTTCACAATGATAACTACTTTAAAATAATTGCCTACACTTTCCTTCTCTTATTTGACATGCGCAAGAAAACCTCCCTATACAATGGAGTATGTAAGGCATGTATGCTCTCCAAATCATCCATAATTTTCACACTATTAATTATACAGTCAACACCATTTTATTGAACTTTTAAAGACTATGGGATGTTTGTGAACGGTTTGGCTTTTACAAGTATTGTCATTGATTTTGCTTCATAATTTTATGTTCCCTTTCTAATTTGTATCTTACATGGATCCACTGGACTTGCCTATGTGCTGGGACTCCATCTGGTCAGTTGCAAATGACACCAGCATTGCTTCGTATCTATAAGATGGAGAGAACTATCATGTGGCTAACTAGAATGGTGCAAGGTGTTCACTTGAAAGCTTGAATATCATGAGTCGTTGTGTTTTCCAGACTATGGGATGTTTGTGAATTGTTTGATACTTATGAATTTTGAACTTTTATATTGTACATAGTTCTCTTTATCATTTTCCAAAGAAATTCGTAATTCCAAGTTAAGCATGTATCTGTTTTAGTTAATTACATCAGTAGTTTATTGCACATGTCTTTACCACTGCAGAAAGTTCAATTTTATGTGCTTTTCTTGGCAGCATATGTAATAATTGTGTCACTTTAGAATAGGAATAAACTACATTTGTGTGTTTGTGTGAACAGGAGTTCGGGATTTATCACATTCAGACTTAGATTGTACATAGTTTCGGCTGTCGTTGTCCATTGAAAATGGAATTTGAAGTTCAAAATTGCAGGGTTGTCTGCGTGTTTGGCAGTAGCAGCTTACTACCCGCTTTTTAACTACCACTGTAGATTCCATATGTCTGTGTTCTTTATGCGGCCAGCTTGCATTTGTGTCACTTGAGGACACCAACCGTATGCTTTTGTGTGCTTGATCAACTTGGTTGATTGTGTTAATTATGTAGTAGCCAAAATGCTACTTCCTTCTCAGGAGTTGTCAAGTAGTGTATGTGTTTATATAGAATATTTTTCACAACAGCACCAGCCAACGGGTCGGGCCCAATGCTAGCTAGTATATCAATATATGGTTGTGTAGTTGCATGAATTTGTAATAGTGTGTGATTTGTTTAAATTTTCTAGAATCATGTTTTATGTATGGATAGTTTATATGACGACTTAATTTTTATTTTGATAGTTTTTTATTGTAAATTTTTATACCACAAAAACCCACGGGTACCTATAAACCTGCGGATATCCAGCAGATTGAGTTGGGTTTGAGTATTTCAAACCCGGCGGATTTTACTTCGATTTTTTTGGCGGATAAACCCATAGATTTGAATTTTGCAAAACCATACCCAAACCCAAACTCAAACTGACCTATTGCCATCCGACTATTGACTGGAGGTGGAGCCTAATTATCGAACACCATAAAACAACGTACCATAAGAAGAAAGAAAACTTCTTATTACCAAGCTAGCTAGAGCTTATTAACGACAACTTCCAAACGTTGACGACGCTATACACATGCAAACGACAAACGTCCTCTCAAGTAGCTACTAGCTAGCTAGCACGCACAAAGTTGGTTCGTTTCTTCAAAACCATGTCGGACGGTTGAAATGGCAGCGGGAGACGGAAGCGCCGCACTTCCCAGGCAGCTCTCCGGCGATCTCCCATGCGCTCTCCACGTCTTCCTCCCGCATTATCACCTGCGTCCGTGGCTGCTCCATCAGCTCCCGCATCGACTTCTCAATACCCACGCAGTAAGCGTCGTCAGCGGCCGTCGACATCTCTTTCAACTGACGGCAGCACATCTCCAAGTACATCTCGCGGGGCCTTCCCCCTGACGGCAGATTACCGTTGCTGCCGCCGCCGTCGCGCACCGCTTCGTTCACCACGTATTGCTGGCAATCGCCTAGCACCCCCCACCAGTTTCCGGCCGCCCCGTGGTCGATGATCACGGTGGTGCGGACGGAGGCCTCCGTCGGAACCAGGAGAAGGGCGGTTAAGAACGTTGCCGCCGCTGCTAGGGCTGTGAGGTTGATCGGGTTGGAATTAGTTGGCGACATTGTGGGGTTTTGTGACTAGCTATATATATGTTTATGAGATCGATAGAAGTTTGGTGTAACCATTGATTGATAGCTTTTTATAAGAAAAGAGGGATTGAGGTGACGGGTTTTGCATGGCGACTACGTGGTGACGAGCAGTAATCGCGAGACACGTCCGTCTTTTAGGCCTTACACGTTGTGGTGCGTCCGTTACGTACTTACGTTACGGAAAACTAACATAAGACCCCGGCCTATTGGCCGGTGCAAGTTTTGCCTCGAAATTATGGGACGTGATTATTATTTGTTCGGTTTCATTTGATTACGTACTAAAGTTCCAAAATAATGGATGATCAAATGTAAGTACACTTGTACTTGTCTTACTTTAGAATGACTACATGATTCATTTTATGACTTCAATTGTGGTATTTGTTGATATATGAGTCTTTGGTAAGAGAACTACAATCAGTCGCGCAGTGAAAAATAAGAAAGAAATTTTCGTAATCAACCGCTAAAGTGAGAAATTGAGATGTTAGCAATTGTCTTTTAAGGATTGGTAGGATGGATAGGGATGAGAAGCATTCAATTGCTACAAAGTTTACCTCAGGTAGGTCAGCCAAAATTCGAGCAATGTGCACCCTGGCACAGAGCTTGAATATCAGTAGCAATCACCAAGGACGAGGACCACGAGAATGTTGTCCTCGTTGAAAAAGTAGCAATAACTGTATGAATTGAATTTAGTTTAAGAAATATATTAAAAAGTGGTTAAATACTATACATGAAATTCTCTCAATAGAAGCACTCGTCAGCATGGTTTTCTTGTACTATTCAATTAATTAATTAAACCTTTGGCCGCCTCCAACAAAAGCTTGATTTCCTTATGCAATTGTTAATCGTAATAGAAATATCGAAACAAAAACGTAAACCAACACACAGAGTTACGTGATTTCCTCGTTCAGGATGAACGAGACTAGTCCACGGCCGAAGCTATTGTATCTCTTATTCAACTTAACTTCAACAGGTTCGATAATATACATATATATACAAACTAGGGTAAAACCCTAGACCAAACTCGGGTAGCCCCAGACAACCCATAGAGCTTAAATATGGGTGGGTCAAAGTTCAATACGCAACACTCAACAGCCCCTCCCCCCCCCCCCCCAAATTGATGAGGATCTCTCATCATCAATTTGCGAGAAAGAAAGAAATGTCGACCAGTTGAGAAGGACTTGGTGAGGAGATCTGCAATCTGGTCCTCTGACATGATATAAAGTAGACGAAGAACACCATCACGAACTAAGTCTCGTATGTAATGAAGATGAACCTCGATGTGCTTCGTACTATCATAAAGCACTAGGTTAGTGGCGATCTGAATGGCGCTCGTGTTATCAACTTGTAGCTGGAGAGAAAGATCACAATCCACTCCTAAATCCTCAAGAAGACGAAGCCAAACAAGTTTCGACTCAACATCGTACATAGCACCATATTCCGCCTCGGTGGAAGATTTTAAGACCTTGTCCTGCTTCTTACACCTCCAGGAGATAAAGGACTCACCCAAGCGAATACACCAACCAGCAGTGGAACGACGAATATCGATACAGCCTGCATAGTCTGAGTTGGAGAAGGCCTGTAGAACAAATGAGCTAGACGAGGGAAGAAACATACCAAGCTCTCTCGTCCCCTTTAAGTAACAGAGAATGCGATGAACATCAGCCAAGTGATCAGTGCGAGGAGCAGACATAAACTGGCTGACGATCTAGATTGCATATGCAAGATCCGGACGAGTGGATGTCAAGTATATCAAAATGCCAACAACACTCCTGTAGTGTTTTCCACCGTCAAATAAAGGCTCCCCAGACTCGCGGCCAATCTTTAAACCAAGCTCCATAGGTGTAGAAACTAAAATACAATCACTAAAGCGAGTTGTCTCCAATAGATCATCTATATATTTTCCCTGACTCAATAAAATCCTATCCTTACTGGGCGACACCTCCAGTCCCATAAAATATGAGGCGAAACCAAGTTCCTTGAGACTAATTGAAGCATGAAGGCCTTTAGTAAGAGCTTCGATCCTCAAAGAGTCATCGGCAGTGACGTTCATATTGTCAACATATAACATGAGAATCACAAGGCCCCTAGATCGTCTCCATTTGAACGAGTTCTATTTGCAAGTGCCCAAGCTCCGTTGTCCTCCCCTGTCCGCATGCATTTTCGTATTTTCCAACTCCTATCAGCTTCACTGTGATAATGGGTTTCTAGGTTTCTCGCTCTCGGATCTAAAATCTCCCCGAGAAGGAATTAGAGCAAATTCAACAATTTTTTGGAATTATGGCTCTCGATTTTTGGGTTGTTTGCTCTCAGTTTTTGGGTTTCTGGATATCGCTCAATCTGCATTTTGGGTGTCCTGAAGTTGTCGATGGTGCCAGAAACAAACGATTGTCATTGTTGTCCTTGCTAGCCGGTCCATATTTATTCTCCAACAATAGTCTCGAGAGCTCGTATCTGTTGTCCTTCTTCCATTGAAGGAGTTCTGTTCACAACTGCCTGAGCTCCGATGTCCTCCCTATCTTAGCTTGTGTCCGAATTGGAGCAGTGTCGGATTGTGTCCAGAATTCGTTGAGTAGGTTACGGTGTTGCATGGCTTCATATTTACTGGTATGTTCTTCTTTTCACTTTTCTGTATTCTTAGTATACCTCAATCTCCAATGCCCAAATTCATCTGTGAAAAAGAATCAGAACTTGAAATGGGATCAATTCTCCAAATCCATGATGACAATACTGTTTTAGGAAAACCCCAAATATGAAATTCTGCACATTTATTTGAGATTTTTATTATGCATATGTTTACAAACTTTGTTAGATTTGTGATTATTAAATGGACAAGTCTTGGATTGGCATGTCTCGAAATACACCAGAATATTTACAAGGATTGGATCAGTTTTTTGGATTTTGCATTTGCACATAACTCTGGCATAGAGCTTATAATATGTCCTTGCATAAAGTGTGGTTTTAAGAAGTTGAAGAAAAGAGATGTACTGTTCGGTGACTTGTTACGTAATCCCTTTCCCATAAAGTACACAGTTTGGTACCGCCACGTGGAGTCCCGTTTAGGAGAATCCTCTCAGAACTCACATATCTTATGAGAGATGGGTATATATATATATAGAGCCTGACAATGTGAATCTAATGCACAACTTGGTAACTGATGCCTTTGGGGCTCGTAGAGATCATACTTTTGAAGATACTTGCCCTTCACATGAGCCTTCGTATGAAAATTATATAATGAGGGGCCAAATATTGAGGCTAGGGGAATTTGTCAACTTTTGAAAGGTGTGGAACAAGCATTTGATCCTGGATGCACAAAATTCACAAAACTATCATTTTTTATGAAGCTGTATAAGTCCTTGTGTGGAATTAGAGACAAAGCTATGTCTATGCTTATTGACTTATTGTGTGATGCTTTCGAGTTTGCAAATATCCCCAAATCAGGATATGGGGCAAAACAAATGCTTAAGACTCTTGCCCTTTCTTATACTGAGATACATGCTTGTCCTGAGGACTGCATGTTATATTGGGGAAATTATGCTAATAGCATAGATTGTAAGATTTGTGGGATGTCTAGATACAAGCTGATAAAGAATGTTCGTGTTGGTGCCAAAAAGAGGAAACCACAAGCAACCAATATTTTTCGCTATTTCCCCTTGATACCTCGCTTGCAGAGGTTATTTCTTTCTTCTAAGACTGCTGAAAATGTGGTTTGGCACTCAAAGGGGAAAAATGATGGAATGGCGAGGCATCCAAGAGACTCAGAGGCTTTGAAGAATTTTGATGTGAAATAACCTGATTTTGCTTCTGACCCTCGAAATGTGCAACTCGGTCTTGCTAGTGATGGATTCAACCCCTTTGGGTCATTGAGTAGCAACTATAGTATATGGCCAATCATTCTAATCCCTTACAACAACCCTCATTGGTTGTGTATGAAGCAAACTAGCGTCATTCTTTCCGGTGTCATCTCAGGAAAGAAGATGTCAGGAAATGATATAGATGTTTACATGCAGCCAATGATTGAAGATTTAAAGACCTTGTGGGAAGGAGTGGAGACGTATGATGCTTCAAAAAATAAAATTATTAAGATGTAAGCAACTCTTATGTGGACGATAAGTGATTTTTCTGGCCTTGGAAATCTATCTTGGTAATTTTGATGCACGTCCTCTTTGTATGCCTTGTAGTAGGAAGTGGTGTTTCATAGGTAGTCATCCCTTTTTGAATAAATGCCATAGATTTTGACTTAATAAGGTTCAATTTGATGGACACGTTGAAGATAGGGATCCCCCAAAACGTTTGTCAGGATCAGAGATTTTGCAGCAATTAGAGCATGTTGATGTTACATTTGGGAAGAGATTAAGTGGTAGAAAAAGAAATCATAAGGGGGGAAATGAATTTGGTGACTCAGGTGAACAGTGGAAGAAGAAGAGTATATTTTTTCAACTTCCATACTGGGAGTTCAATCTATTGCGTCACAATTTGGATGTTATGCATATAGAGAAGAATGTTTGCGACAACAGCATATTCACTTTGCTTAATGACAAAGATAAAAGAAAGGATCATTTCAATGCTCGAAAGGATCTAGTTGAATTGAAGATTAGAGATGAACTCTGGCCAAAAGAGGATGGGAAGGCTTGTCCTGGAGCTTTATTCATGTTGGAGAAGCCAGAGATCGATGTTATTCTTGATACCTTGAAAGATATATCTGTGCCTGACGGTTATTCTAGCAACATTTCTTGTCATGTTGATTTATCTGGACGTAAGTTATCTGGATTGAAAATTCATGACTCACATGTTCTTCTACAAGAGTTCTTGCCTTTGGCAAAAAGGAACGTCTTGCCTATACAAGTCTTCTCTATTGGTTGAGCTATCATCTTGTTTCAAACCCATATGTTCAAAGGTGGTAAACACATTGGAGTTAGATGATCTTCAACAACGAATTAATCTTTGCTTATGTAACTTGGAAATATTTTTTCCACCATCATTTTTCACTGTCATGGTTCACCTAGTGATCCATTTGGTTGA